GAAGAGGAAGAAACCGGAAGAAGAAACCGGCCCAAAATGGGTAAGTTTTGGTGTTTGAAAATTATTGCATAAACAACTTGTACATTATGCATAATAATTTGTAATTAAGAGTTTTTTAAATTTGTTGCATAAAATGATGGTACCCTAAGCTTTAAGACTTGTACTTAAGATATAGGTCTAAATGCTTATATATGTAGTAAGTATAGATATATATATATATATATATATAATATTATATGTAATTATATATACACACATTCTGATTAAAAGAAAAATGAACGTTCATTTAGGATGGATTGTCTATCAGTTCTGGTTCCATCTCGTTTTAGGGTATTTTGCGAGACAAAAAAACCACAAAATCGTCCCACCCTCATCATGCTCAAATTTATTGTTTGCCAAAACACGAGATAATACATTTGTAACCCGTCATGTCTTGTATACAAATTAAACTCCTAAGGACCAAACAACTCGATGATTTTCATATATATCTAATAAAAATTATTTATTTTTTCATCTGATCGTTAACTTAGATCTTCATAGTAAACCAAAATTTTCATGATCAGATATTTCTTAAAACATAACCTAGAATTATATCTTTATTATTTCAGTTAAATATGGTAGATTCAAATGAGATACAAAAAGAGCTCACTGCTAAACCGTTTAAAAAGAACAAAAAAAACTTGTTTGTTTTAAAATCATCAATCCCGTTTAAAAACACAAAAATAATATTTAGAGATTAAAATCGTGAAATTGTAAATAGTCGAGGGACTGTTTTCGTATTTCACTCAAAGTGTATACAGCAGCCTCTACTTTTTTGAAGGTTTTTTCTATTTATAATTTCACCTAATCCATGTTGAATTCAATCACTGACCCACCTACTATTTTTGTTTAATGTGTATGTCTTATCAAATTTTTTATTAATTACTGTATGGATAAATTTGTTTGTTCGGATAAATTCGTCTGTCGAGATAAATTTATCTGTCTGAATAAATGAGTGTTGTTGTTTACTTTTTTTATTTGAACATCAAAACAAAAAATCATAAAGAGGCCGACGATGGGGTGTCTCAAATAAAAAGGAGGCGATGCTTTAAATAAGGAGTAGATGTGTCATTTTTGTGGTTGAATGGAGACAACACACCATTATATCTTTGCGATTAAGCAATGTTATGTGCGAATAAACCATAAGTAAACAACACAAATGAGTTATGCGAATAAGTCAGATAGACCAATATGCTTAATTAAGCCGCAAGTAAACAGCCCCCTAAGATGGATTAACGGGTTGTAGAATTGTCGGATATGTTTTTTTTAATCGTTTTGATTTTAAGGGGTTTTATTATGATTTTTAGTCGATGTTTCTTATATTTCTAATATCTCGAAGCATCTTTTAAAGTTTAATGGATGGATCTTTCATATATAAAAAATTTATTTACGGAAATAAATTGAGCTGGTACAAAGGACCCCACTCGAAGGTTAATACATCCTCCCTTGAATTCAATCAATCATCATTTTAGTATATAAATTCAATTTTGAATATTCTCAATGCTCTAAGATCGTCGAGTCAAGGGTGTATGCACGCTCCTATCTTGACCGAACTTGAAACACATACTTCTAGTTTAAAATCATATGTGTTATAATTGTTCTGTAAGTTTTTTAATTTACCCATTTCTCATTTGAACCAACTACCCTTTATGAAAATTCTACTTTGTTAGTCAATTATATATATATATATATGTGTGTGTGTGTGTGTGTGTGTGTGTGTGTGTGTGTGTGTGTGTTGGGGGGGAGAAGGGGGGATCATGTGAGATAAGGTTGTTTTCATGAGACATATAGACAATTTTTACACTTGAAACTTTATAGCAAACTATTGTAAAGATAATCTTCACAGTGTTTTTGTTGTGAAGATTCATCAGCTTTTACCTTCACAACATTTTGTTGTGAAGTTTCAAGAGTAAAAATCGTATCTCACGTGAACCGAACTATATATATATATATATATATATGACTTCGGATCATGTGAGACCAAGGGTTTTTCGTGAGACCTGTAAGACCAATTTATGTTCATTGATCAACTTTATAAACTAATGATCTAATGGTCTAAAGTTGCACGGAGACAATTTTGTAATTATTGAGAAATCTCGTGGCGTTTATAAATGTTCAGATTGTCAGATTGTAGAACTAATCCAAGGATTGAGAATTGGTCTTACGGGTCTCACGAAAAACCTTTGGTCTCACATGCGTCTATATATATATATATATATATATATATATAGAGTTGGGTTCACGTGAGACCAGCCTGTTTTCGTGAGACCCGTGAGACCACATTTTTACACGTAACCTTCACAACAAAAACACTGTGAAGGTTTAAAAAAAGTCGAACCTTCATAGCAAAAACACTGTGAAGGTTTTAAAAAGTCACCTTCACAGCATTT